CTGGCACTTCATTGCCACCTGTTTCAGGTCTTGGATGTTCATTAGGTCCATGGTTGAGCCTTTCCTGATGATGGTTCTATGTAGATTTTTTCTTGGTCTGCCCGTCTTTTCACCTCTGGTGTCCATATGAGGGCTTGATGGGGGTGTCTTGTCTTATCCATTCTGAGTACATGGCCGATTTAGTTCAAGCAGCGCTTTCTTATAAAACTGGATAAATTATCTTGCTTGTTCTCTTGTTTTGATTTGTGTATTGGATATGAAATGGTATTTTACTAGAAACTAAATACATTTGATCAGAATCACTAGCATGCATTACAGCACATACAAAACTCATAAACAAAGACATTTGGCAACAGATAAAAGTCACCTTCCATTATTTGATTGTCTAAGTTACCACCATCAGTTTTTTTCCCCAAAAGCTGACAGTTATTTTTGAATTTAGTATTTCCCATAATACTGAAACTAATTTTATAACTGGACACAAACTAAATACATTTAAAACCTCTCACTGCTAGAGTACACAAGCACTAGTCACTATCGCCACTTATCTGTCTCTTATAAATACAGGATTGCTGTAACAATAAACAGTATCACGTTTGATCTGACAAAGACATTTAAAGTTACCTCATTTTCCAGCCAATTATCTGGTTAAACAGTCATATTATAATCAGCATTTAATCATATATTAAAGGCTGCATGAGTGTAGTGATCCTCAGTTTCAATATATATCAAAGCTGAATTTTTGTTCAAGACAGCAATGCTCAGTCAGTGTTTGTTTGGTTAAGGTGATCTGACAGTAATTTATTCCCCTGGGGTGCAAAGCTTTCGGTAAATCTCTACATAGTCCTGGCAACAAGAAATAAAGTAGTGGGCCAAATTTATTCCTGAGCTGAACCAAACCTCACAAAAGTGGAAGCTGATGAGGCAGCTGTAAACTATCTTCAATGATATGCAAAAATTATTGAAAGAGAGAAAAATAACACATGACCAAATGAGAATCATCAAATGTTATGTATACTCAACCCTTCTGGATGGTGCAGGAACTTGGACAGTGAACAAGCAGCTAGAAAATGTAATTGTGTCTGGAAATGCAGATATAGAGAAGAATAGGTCATATTTATGGAAACAAAAACAATCAAATACAAAGATTCTTCAAATAGTGAAGAAAGAAAAAAGTGAAAGAAATAATCAAGTGACAATTAAAATATTTCTGCCACATTAAAAGACATAAGACGCTTTTAAAAACCATATTGGAGGGAAAGGTTGAGGGCAAGAGAGCAAGGGGTAGACAACATTACAAGTGTGAGGACAAGATCAACAAATGAATGAACAGCAGTCTGAGAGAGTGTACAACTGAGACAAGAGACAGAGCGTGTTGGAGATCCAGCCAACCTGACTGACTGATTGATTTATTCTCTCCACATAACTCATCTAGTGCCGCATAACTCATCTAGTGCCGCATAACTCAGCAAACAAGGGGAAATATGCTTCTTTATTTTACCATTCTCAAAATTCAAACAAACATATCAGTGTCGTTGCATAACATATAACTGTTTTACAATTGCTGTTCTACACATAATCTATCACGTCAACCCTAAATATAAATAAAACAAGAGTCAAAATACATGAGTATCTTCTTCTTCTTCACATTCACCGGCTGTAAACTCTGGCAGAAAGTTCATGGGTGTTCATCCACCTCTGGCTTTAGACTTGTTCCAGATCCTGAGTGTTAGTTGCATATCTGTTTTAAAGATCTGACTTATTTGTATGCAGACTGTTGGTTCCTTGCCTCTCAGGCAGATATACTCCGACTTCGAAGGAAACCCCCAACTAGTCAAATCTTTACGACATGCTTGTTTGTTGGGGAGGCAGTGGGTCGATTCTTGTTTTTCCCCACAATGTGGCTCAGGAACTCAAACGGGGAACATGAGTATCGAAGACTGACACATACATAGATACTGAATGAACAAATATTGTCAATAATAGATCTAATAACAAGGTCTGAAATCAATAGTTAAGTATGAAGATTACCCCTTTTTGTCCAGTGAGACAGACCTGTATATGAAGCAAGTCCTATAATATTAAACTAATCAGCATTAGATGGAGGACCTGGTCACCAGACCATCTCTGCAGGTATGTAGGCCACTGCAGCTGACCATCTGCTAGGAAATCAACCTGGTCAGCTGACCCTCTCTGTAAAATGTAAGTCCAACAAGGAGAAACAAATGCCTGGATGAACACAGGACCACCAGGTCAGCATGCAGGTATGCTAGCCACTGCACTCTAGCACCTCCTTCATGTCAGCATGTAAGTAAGTCAACGCAAATGTATAACTGGTGTGGTGTTAACTTGATTCCTTGTTGTCTAGTCGCTAATCGTGTTTTTCCTGTCAGCATTAGGTTGAGAACAAATTTCTGGAGCAGGCTTTGGTGCATGTTTCCCCACACAGCCTCAGATATCACTTAAAGGATTACCTCCTCTCTGCCACCATTGTGTTGTAGTAGCATTAGAGCTCTCTGTTAAAAAAAAAACTTTTATTCCTACTATTATATTATATATTATCACCTTCACTTTTTTTGCGACTATTTTTCTAGCCTTCCTTTTTTAAATTTTTATTTTATTCCTTTCACATCACCTTTTTTATAGTTTCTTGTTGACCCCTTAGTGTTTGGAGTACTCTCCCTCTTGTTAGGACCATTGTATGTAGTTCATGTTCTGTCGAGAAAGGCCCAGCGCCGAAACGTCTTTTTCCGTTGTTCTGTGCACGTTATTCTGCTTCCCGATTTCATTGAGCTTTTCAGGGATTGTCCACTAGATGAATTCCTTGGTATGAGCTTAACTGCAGTCACCCCTATTTGTATCAGTCTTCGTGTGTACAACAACAACCTCAACCATACAAGACTACAGGTTCCCTTTTACAGCCTGTGAGTGCCCAATATAATTTTATCTGATTGAACGTTGTTGTTTTTTTTGTTGTACTGGTAACTGAAAAGTGGCTCTTATGTCAGCAGATGTGCAACTTTCAGAGTTTCTGTCCCTGACAGTGGATTTGAAAAACTGAAAACAAAATGTACACTGGAAAAAATGTCAGGTTTTTTTTTTAAAAAAAACGACTGCACATTAACATGATTTCACAACCAAATTTCTATCTACTGTTAGACATACAGATTTGTATAGGTCAAGATTCTAATGGATTAACAATCTTTATGTTTTCAAACGTTATGTACAACAAGAAAGAAATGAGGCAGACATCTCAAGATGCATTGCACTTACTGGAAAATGCTAAAAATGAAGGAACAACATTTTACTTTTGAGCAAAAAACTGTCTAGATATAACATCAAAAAAACATAATCACAGTTCTAAGAGACAAGACGTCTGGAATATTACACAAATTCAGTTTGGCAAACAAGAAAACACATTCAAATTATTTCCCTGGAGTTATTATGATTTTGTGCTTTCACGTGAGATCATCAAGTTATGCATACATAAAAACAAATACTTCACCAAAGAGCAATAACATCAACAGTAACTGTTTTAATGTAACTTGCTGGTAACACAAGATAATGTACTCCACATTTACAACTGATTTTTTTCCAGAGCAAATGTTTCTATCTGGCTGTTGTTGACAGTTCATCAGTTTAAAACAATGGTTTCTGTTGTGAATTTAAAAGACGAGAAAAACAATTTGTAAACAAGCGATGCAAATTGTAACAATAGACAATATGGTAAACTGTAACAATGTACTGTATGATTTGTGTTCTTCAGTTAAAAAGTTTAATTTTTGTGCTTCACTATATGTTTATGTAAACTCTGAAGCATGTGATAAGATACAGCAAAATGAGCTTGGCAATTAATTGTTCAAGTCCCCATTATTTAAATTCATCAGTCCAGAGTTCATCACCTGACAACACGCACGAGCGTGGGCACACGCACGCAAGCACACTCACACAAGTTAAGTTAACACTGACATAATCACACTTAGCTAACAATACACACAAGTTAAGGTAACATTGACATAATTACAATCAGCTAAAAATACATGCAAGTTATGGTAACATTGACATAATTACAATCAGCTAAAAATACATGCAAGTTATGATAACATTTATGTAATTACAATCAGCAGATATTTAGAGAACATTTAATAAAATCTGGTAAATTATTTAGCATTTTTAGAACAATTACAAAATATCAACCGGGCACATATTAAAATTTAAAAAATTTTAAAAAGGACTTTTTAAGTTTTAATGCCAGCCAATTTTGAGCGGTGAGTTGTGTACTGATCGCCCTGAGATGTTAGCACTACAGCTTTAGGTCATCAGCTTAGTCTTGCTCACTCATATAAAGATGTTTCTGGAACATGCAAGTACTTATTCATTATCTTGTTGTGCCATTACATGTCACATGGGGCTCCCAGTCTATTACACTATTCCTTCTACCCTGTTTTCTGAATTCCTTTATTTCAGTGATATCTTCTCTGTCTTAAAACTGTTGAGGTAAACACTTGCTCAGACCTTTCTCTTTTTCCTTCAAACCTCTTCAATTCATCCCGTTTTGAGTTCATTATCTTCCTGATACAAGTATTGCTTATGAGAAACTCAGCGCCAGAAATATTACTGAATATCACAATTTGCATAGGTTCAACTGTAAGCTACTGCTTCTCTGCTTGCCCCAAAGTCTCGCTGTATGTAACAAACTTATTTATATCTGCCACAAGTGGTGAATAAATAAACAAGGCCATTTCTCTCAGCTTGGAAACAACAACTAACAAACTTCTCCAGTCTTGGATGAAGTAACAAATTCACCTTTCCTGCCCTGGAAGAACAGCCAGACTCGCTTTGCACATCTTCATACAACTGACAATAGACACACACAATAAACAGTCAAGTGTAGCAATATCTTTATACTCTAACAGAATCCTTCAGTGAGGATCTTCATAAGTTCACAGCCAATCATTCTGTTGCTTCTATCAAGTTGATGCATATGTATCCATAGTGATTCATCCACCAATTAAAATCATTGGTCTGTTCTCCATCTTGGATAAGTTGGTCATTCCTGCAATAACAAATCAAATTGCTCAATTAACAATATACCAAGTGTACCTTACATACAGTAAGAGTTCTTTATTTCATATCAATCAAATTAACACCCTAAGCAAGAGACAAAATTCCTGATATAGACAACTTATTTCAGGTGAACGAAAGAAGAAGAAGAAGAACCCTAAGCTGGTAACTTAAATACACCCAAGTGCTTCCAGACTGTACAAGGGTCACAAGTTATTCTGAAAAAGTTCCATAAATTGAAGAAATTTCTGTAAAAGATAAAATATCTTTTTTATTGATAAATGTTCTGAAATTCATTTTAAATTCGTTATTTTCTTTAAAAAATTGTATTAACAGATTCCATCTGTGAAAAGTAATATCTGTTTTCTAGCTCTGGTAAAATTTACCAAAGAATGAAAATGCTGAAAGTTTTTATTTCATCAATTGTTATCCATGTCCAGCTGTAAACTTTATATGTGCTGCTTGCTCTGGGTTATTTAAGAATGATTACAAAACTAGGAATAGTTTTGAACAAAGTTCCGCTGTGATTGGTGTCAAGCATGTATGGGGCAGGGAGAGATAGGTCACAAGATAAGGTCACATGTCTGCAGCTCCCAAATTAAGGGTTAAAACATTCGCTATCCACTAAAGAGATCCTCTACTAAATGGAGTTAATGCTAATCAACACAATAATGCAAGCCTAAGTGTAACCTGTAGAAAGCGGAGGATGGATCTATCCATATACCCCCTTAGATAGCAATCGGTATCTATAGATTTATCCATTAAATCCACTTTTAAGGAACATTCACTTGGAAAGATTATGGCTCATAGCGGTGTAAAGGTCAGTGGGTTTTCTTACTAACGAACACAATTCTACCAGGATCAAACCAACTGACCATATAATCTGACAAAGTAAAGGATATGCTGACTAGATTCATATGCCACTGACCAAGTTAACATAATACTGGCCAGACATATACAACAATGGCTACATTTGTTAATAAAACAGAGATCAAGATGTGAATTAATTCTAAGTAAAAACCAAACCCTTTTTTATGCCACATTTTGTTAGTCCCATATTTTTAAAACAGTCAGGGCTTCAAAGATGTTGTGTTGTTAATCTCAGATCAGTGATTATTAACTACTAAAGTGTTTCGTACTTTTTAGAACGAAATTTTTTGTTTTTTGAAGCCCCACCCTGGCTTTTGCCAGGGACTGCAATATAGGCAGGCCATAAATATGGCCAATTGTCTGAACGCGGTTTCTGGGACCTCTCCACGGCAATCCGCATCCACATGGTGGCACTTTGTGTCATCAGGTGTTTATCGCTTGTGTGATGTCCTAGTGGGGTAGAAAGTCAGTCAGTCATCTTAGATCAGCCACCTTTACTTGCCCATATAATCTCTTGGTGCCTATTTTTGGCTGTTCATGTTAAAATATGCCACCTTAAGGGGATTCAAATACAAGGCAACAACCAGCTGGCAAGCAAACTGAGGAAACATGTGTCTAACAAAGTGAGAATCTAACCAAGCGCACACATGAGTTTTGTTTCTCCCGTGAGACATTAAAAAGTAACCGTACCTGCATGCTGTTTCTTTTTCCTTTTGACTGCTGCACCAATCACTTCCAACAGCTCGTCATCTGAATTACCCTGTCTCATTGCATCTCGCAGAGAGATCTCAGAATTTCCATGAAGGCAAACCTGTCACACAAAGACATTTAATAAATTACTGCTTTCATAGGCTATATTTCCATAAGACAAACCTGTCACATATATATATATATATGTGAGCTAATTTTCTTAAAGATATTTTCACCATAATTTTTTAAGTCCATGATGCCCATAACATTGTTTCTGTTGATGGTGCTCTCAACATACCTTCATTAAACCACACCTCTGCAGTTTCCATATAACTTTAAAACAAAATAATCTAAGTTTTAAATATGGCATGATAATGAAAGCTGTATATAAGTTATATATCAAAACAACTGGCAGAATTATTGCAAAAAGAGGGTTTGGTCAACAGAATAGTTACTACACAGTCTAGCAGAATGACAGGAAATATTAGTACTACTGAAAAGTAGTAATATCGAGAGTAGCTTGTGAAGGATCCTGACTGTCATTACAATCATCCCCCATTGTGGGGGAAAACAAGAATAGACCAACTGCCTCCCCAAACATGTCATGTCATAGGAGTTGGCTAATTGGGAGTTTCCTTCAAAGTTGGATTGCATCTGCCTAAGAGATAACAAAGAACCAACTGCATACAAATGAGTCAGATCTGCAAACAGATGTGCAGGCAATACTCAGGTTCTGCAGTCGGACTAGAGTCTAGAAGTGGATGAACAACCAGAACTCTCCGCCCGAGTTTACAGCTGGTGAACGCAAAGAAGAAGAAGAATACCAAAGGACAGACAGCTGAAGAAAATGATGAGAGAGACAGACAAAGATTCAATCTAATGACGACTACCACTCTTTTCACCAGGGACTTTAGGATTTGCAGTAACAGACCAAATCAGTACAAACGGTGTCTTCAATGGTGTATGTGTGTAAAGTCAACAATCTGTTAAACATGCAGGAATGTTCTCTCTACAGAAAGTTAAGAAAGACACACTGACCAACTGAATCAATGAATTAACAAACAAAAGAGAAATGTCAAAAATAAATCATATTCATCATGAGAATTTAATCATCAAACAGTGTGATAGGAGGAAGAAGAAACAAAAACAGAATGGATATAAATGTAAAACAGATGAAACTGTTAACCGATTTCATACCTTTAGGTTCCCATCTGCTGTAATTCTTAATCTGTTGCAAGTACCACAGAAATGGTTGCTCATCGATGTAATAAAGCCAATCTGGCCAGCATATCCAGGCACTTTGTAAGCCTTTTATAGAGTACAGAAAAATCAATTTTGTTATAGATTAAATATTCACATCTAGCTTAAGTCCACAGATCATCCTCACCGTACACTCAAACACTCAATCCATAAGCGCTCAGATCTCATCCTAAGTATATCTCTGAGCATGTAGTGGTTGATGATAAAACCCATCCTGTCTTGGTTTTTTATTATTTGACTTCTTGCTTAGTACTCTTGTCTGGTCTCAACTCTTTTGATGTTCCATTTTTAAAATCTGACCATAGTTGCAGATTCAGCATCACCTGATTCATTGTATTTCTTGTAGAGTATTCAGTAGGTCAGCCTGGTCCATTGATTGTCACCTTCACAGTATTTCTGTCTGCAAGCCCATCAGATTGTGTATGTCCTCTGACATCTCATGTCCGCCTCAGAAACCCTAACCAATGTCTTAAAGCCCAGCCCATCTCAATCTTTCTGAGCAAACTCAAGAGTCACAGAGATAGCATGCCTCAGTGAATGTTTGGTGTCTCCAGCCAGTTTCTTGCTTTCCAACAAGAACCCAATAGTCAGATTAGTAGTCAAGGTAAATAAAATAAAAGTGTTCCTGAGATAAAACAATATGGCCCTCAATTGCAATGTTTCTATTGACCTGTTTTAGAACATCTTCATACCAACTTTGCCTATCAGATTTTAAGTAAAGTAATTTTCTTATAAATCTGGGATTCCAGGTTGATCCAGTGTAAAAAGGGTACCAGGAAATTTCCTAGGAAGTAAAGGAAGCCAGAATTATACTGACTCTATAAGTCATTTAGTGATGACTGGTCTAAAATATATGCAGCTTGTACTATATACCCAGAATTCTTCAGGGCATGGAGGCTTCTTTACTGACTTTTTTAGTTGCAACGCCCATTTTTGTAGCTTAATAAATATTTTTGCCTGTTTACAAAAAGTCCCTGACTCATAACAATAATCTTCTTCTTCTTCTTCGTTCGCCGGCTGTGAATTCCGGCGGAAGGTCCCGGTTAATCGTCCACTTGGACTTTTGGCTTTTACCTGGACCTGAGTTTTGCGTGTACAACCGTTTTGTTGTTCCCTGCCTCATGGGCAGCTGTACTCCGACTTCGAGGGAGATGATAACAATAATAAAATGGTTCTTGTTACACTTATAAATTGTATTTCTGATACTCAATAATTAAATGTTATTTCATTATGTGATATTCTACATATGATGCCCAGTGTGTCAGCTGTTAATTTACGTGTGTCAGATGTTAATTTACGTGTGTCAGGTTAGCGTGTTCAATTTTTACGTGTGTCAGTGTTAATTTATGTGTCAGCTGACCCAGAGTGTCACTGCAATTTACTTCACTGTTAATTTACGTCCCTGTTAATTTACGTGACGTCAGCTGTGTTTACTGTGTCAGCCATCCTGACCCAGAGAACTGCACTCTTCACAAAGTGTACTGATGCCATGTGTACTGATGCCATGTGTACTGATGCCAGCCACTGAAATATACAGCAACCACCTCAAATGTTTTCTCTGTACTCAATCCATACTGAGCAAACAAGTGCAGAATTCCATGCCCTACTTTGCTTTCAAATCAATACAACCAGCTCATTCAATGCTTCAATTGACATTTCAAATAAATGCAAAGTCAGCGTGCTAAAAAACTATTACCACTGGCATATTTGAACTACCATTTTGTATAATTTTCTAGACAGAACAATTTCATCCCATCCAATAATGAGCCACTAATGCCATCAGAACTAAAACTGAAAAAAACTTGTGGGCATGTTTCAAGTGCTGTGATGTCAGTTCTCAGAGCAACTTCAATCCTGATTTTTGCTTTTATGCCTGTCATAGGATAGAAGTATCCCTAAAAAAAAAAAAAGCCTTTCCTCCAATAGCAACTGGCCCACTCTTCTGCACGGTGGACCCATTTAGCCTTCTTTCCTCCATTAGCCTATGGCAGACTTCTTGTCACAGTTCACAGGATTAATTTCTTGTGCAAGGTGGGAACCTACACCCCCAGGCTAACATAAAAGCATGACAGCAAGTGATGAATTCATGGTTTCAAGTTCCTGATTGGTGGGCACAGGACTGTGAACATGGCTACAGTCATCAACCAGTTAAGGTACTACCAAGGAGGAAAGTAATGGTAAAGTGTTTTCTCCCCAGATATCTAATCCACTCTATGGTTTGACAAGATTTATTAGGCATTTTGTGAGGGGAGAAAAATGTTAAAACATAGTCTTCTTCTTCTTCACTTCCTCTTTTACCGCTGATGTTATCCTTCCATATGTTCTTGGTCTACCTCATGCTCTACGTCCTTCTCTTTCCATGTATGCTTTGTATGGTATGGTGTCACAAGGCATTCTCTCTAAGTGAGCAAACCATTTCACTTGCTGTCTTCGTATGTGTTAAAACAATGAGATATAAACGGACTGATCAAACAGTATCTGACCATGGCTATGTTAAAACATAGTGACAATGGCAAACTAAATGAGAAAAGAACAATACGAAGACAAAGAGATGCACTTCCAGATAGTTTGGCCCTCTAAAGTAATTGGGACATCAATACAGACCTAAGACTACAAATCATATTAGATGGTGATCCACATTTAGTGACATGCATATGATGATGATGCAGGTTTACTACGCAACTAAAATGTCCCATCCAACATTTTTTTAATCAACAATTAAGAAATAAAGCATTCTATATTTACAAACATTCCCCCTTCCCCCCTCCCAAAATAATTCTGCTAAATATACAAAATGCAACTGGGCATCAATACCTTAGAAGTATCATTTGGCTTGTCAGATAATTTCTGCAAAGCTGGCCACCTCTCATGAATTAAAGAAAGCATTTCTGGATAAGAAACAAATTTCTTTGTGTTCCATTTATTTCCACCAAACGGCATGTACTCAATGAACCGGACATCTACTGGCTGAAACAAACAACAAAAAAACATGTAAATAATTAGAAAGGACTTCTCAGTAAAGAAAAGTGTGTAAAAGACCAAGGTCGAGACCCTGAAGTGTACTGTCTGACCTGAAGTGTACTGTCTGAATGCTGTAAATGTACACTTTTATTGAAGAATTGGCATAATGTGTGTAGTGTCACCATGCTGTGGAAAGGGATCTTCTTCTTTTGTCAAAATCTGCTTGTGCCTGTGGAAAGGGATATTAAGTGTAATTTTGTATGAGGCAGAGAATTATCTGAAATTATCCAGCACATTGGCAACTACCAACCTCTGTTAACTACAGTGAAAAGACAGAAAATGCAATGGTACGGACATGTATGACAATTTATTTCACAAACAATACTACAGGGCTCAGTAGAGGGGAAGCGGAGAAGTTGTAGACCAAGAAAGACCTAGATACAGAACTTGACTGACTGGATAGGCCTTAGGCAAGCAGCCATGAAGTCCAACACATCTGATTGTCACACGGGGAGGGATCTGATCAGTCAGCAGCAACTGGTGACCCAATGACACTCAGTGTTGTGGGACAATGATGACAATTATTGAATGAGGTGTGTACTTTGACTGGCGTTCACTTGTGCAAAGTCAGCAAGTGTATAATTTAGCTAACCAACATAGATTGCAGTTTACATTTGCACTTGTGTAAAAAAAAAACTGGCCATTGTAGATGCTACAGAAGCAAACAATCTGCCCTCGTCGTGCCAGGAGCTCTGGCAGATTCAGCATAAAATATCCATGGAAATTTTATATTACTTGTAGCTAAAATCATTGCAAGACTGCAGATCATTTTACCATTTTTTTCTTCTTTTTTGCCTGAGTTAGAAATTTTCTCATTTCGCTTGAGTTATGCCATTTTGGGTTACAGTAAACTTAAATTTGTCAACAGCCGTCCTTTCCTTTTCTTCTGTGTCTGTTCCCCATCTAATGCCCTGGCATGTGGATAACAAACTAATTCTGCAAACTTGTATACATAGAATTAACTGATGCACACAACGGCAGCCGTCCCTTTCCTGGGAGGCTAATTTTTCTCTCACAGACTGTACCACGTAGTTTTTATATTTGAAACCAGATAAAAAGTAGAGTTGAGTTCATAACAGAGTTAGAGTGCCAGTGCTACTAGGAGAAGTTGAATTATTTGTCCATCTTGCCTTTCCTCTGAGTTGTCAGCCAGACACCCTATCTGTACCTTTCCTCTGAGTTGTTAGCCAGACACCCTATCTGTACCTCTCCTCTGAGTTGTCAGCCAGACACCCTATCTGTACCTTTACTCTGAGTTGTCAGCCAGACACCCTATCTGTACCTTTCCTCTGAGTTGTCAGCCAGACACCCTATCTGTACCATTCTCTCCAGATCGTAATGATCTTTTTCCACTTCTAGATTGTTCCCTTGCTCCCAGTATGGTCTGAGGAGAATGGTGCTGTGATGAGTTACCTTGGGATCTGGCCGGGAAGGGCGAGATGAATATATACAGTCAGTTACTGCTACCATCGGAACTGGAACTCTTCGCTTGCTGCTGAAGGTGGGGACAGAGCGCTTACAGGGGTATCCCGAGTACTCTGATGTCAATTCTTAATTCAACATTCAACAATCCCTTGCTCCCAAAGATACATAAATAAATCTATTAAAGTTGTGATCAAGCTTACATTTGACAATGGCATAAATATCAAATGAACAGGTAGACAGATTGGCTGGATCTGCACCACTGGGTGGTGAAATGATACATGACAAGGCAGATGTGGTCAAGGCTCTTTGGGAACAAGCAACGGAATCAGTAGAGAAAAAAGATTATTATGGCCTGCAGAGAATGAGACACCTGGGTGTAACCAGAGGATCTTGCTGGCTCACTACACTCAGAGGTAAGGCAAGACGGACACATAACCAGATTGTGACCAGTACCATCAGTATTGGAACTCTGTGCTGGCTGCTGAAGATGAGGTAGGAGCATGCATGTAAATGCCCCGAGTGCTGTGATGTCAATTCTTGACTCAACTCAACTCTGACATAAATATCATTGACAAATATATGTTCATGCCCTCGGCCAAAATTATGTGCATCAAAAGCTAAAAGTGTATGTCAGCTTGTGATAGTAGAGCAAAGATGTGGAAAACTGTATTTTCAAAATTTAGGGTGGTGTGTCGTGGGCTATCTCACAATCATTACTGATGAAAATAGTGGCTTTTAAACTGAAAAGCTAACAAAAGATTCTTAGAATGATAGGGAATGAAAGGAAAAGAAAAACTGACATCTTAAAAGATCTGAACATCGAAGGAAATGGGCTCGTAAACAGCACCTTGTCTCTGAGAGGTATCACTGATTATACTGCATATTATTTTGGTACTGTTCTAGTACAAGGTTTCTAAAATTATCGTTGTTTTTACAAATATTAGCATAGACTTGTAAAATCTGACCTTGTTCTCGGTAAAGGCAACGAAATCACAGATTTCATCATCATTGACACCTTTCATGACAACACAGTTGATCTGAAATGAAATTAGTTTAGATAACAGGCCTACACTTCGCCATCATTATCATCATCATCTAGCAAGTAATTTGCAGAAAGCTGATCATGGCCTGTCAGAAATACTTGGTTCCTTTCAAATGTTTTATACAATCCCTGCTGATTTCTAGGATATAATTTATGTGACATTGTTTGCTTCACACAATATCTTCATTTCTCATTTTCACTTTATAAACGAGCAACATAAATATTTTTCATGCACACAATTCCTTAGATTTTTATTACACATAAACTTTCTGACTAAGATACGATAGCTCTATGGTTTTTTTTTCTTCTTTTCTGTTTGCTATTTAAATAACAATTGGTACATGGTTTTGTGGTTTACCGCTAGGCTGTGATATCTGCCTTAAATTTCAGCAAACCCTTAGTAACCTTTTAAAACATGTTAAGGGGAGCTAAGGTCTATATCACCCCCATCCTGCCCCGCTCCCCCCCCCCCCCCCACACACACAGACACAATAAAATTAGGCCTGGAATCAACTTGGGGATAATTATGGTTTGAATCACACAATTTGCTCTAGATACATTGTTAATCTCATTGCTGGAAGTTCTTCTTCTTCTTCTTCTTCTTCACGTTCACCAGGTGTAAACTCTGGCGTAAAGTTCTGGTTGTTCATCCACTTCTGAAATGCAGTCCTGCTCCAGAACCTGAGTGTTGCGTGTGCATCAGTTTTACAGATCTGATTCAATTGAATGTAGACTGCTGGTTCCTTGCCTCTCAGGCAGATGCACTCCCACTTCAAAGGAAGCTCCCCAGTTAGTCGATTCTTGTTTACAGGACTATTCAGAATTGACTGAATTTTGCATCTAAAGTTCTCTGCAGTCTGACACCAACCCTCCAGAAACATATTTTATGACACGCATGCTAGGTGACAGTGCTATTTTTGTGCTTCCCTCATGGACCCTAGCCTCACATACAGACTGCGTCAATGGCCCTGCCAGACTGTGACAGTCAACTCACCTTTAACGGATCATATCCCAACTCCAACGCCTTGTCAATGGCTTTCAACACTCTGTCGTGACCTTTCCTTCGGGTGATGAACTCAAACTTGGCAGGCACAAGTGTGTCTAAACTGAGGTTAATCTGGTCCAGACCAGCCGCTTTCAGTTCAGGTAACCTGCGCGCAAGTGTCACAGCATTTGTTGTTATACCAATGTGCTGAAGTCCTGCGCTCCTTAGTTCATTCAGACCTTCTGTTGAGGGGTAGACAACAAGATTAATTAATTCTTCTGTTGAAGGAAAGACTGCAGTTATACCTTCTGTTAAAGGAAAGACTTCAGTCAAACCTACTGTTGAGAGGGAGACAACAAGATTATTTGAATCTTCTGTTGAAGGAAAGACTACAGTTATACCTTCTGTTAAAGGAAAGACTTTAGTCAAACCTACTGTTGAGAGGGAGACAACAAGATTATTTAAATCGTCTGCTGAAGAAAAGACTACAGTCAAAGCTTTTGATGAAAGAAAGACTACAGTCAAACCTTCTGATTAAGGAAAGACTACAGGTAAACCTTCTGATGAAGGAAGGACTATGGTCAAACCTCCTGTTAAAGGAAAGACTACAGTCAAACCTTCTGCTGAAGAAAAAACTACAGACAAACCTTCTGATGAAGGAAAGACCACAGTCGAACTTTCTGCTGAGGGGGAGACTAACAAGATTATTAAACCTTCTATACAGGACTACAGCTAAACCTTCTGATAAAGGAAAGACTACAGCTAAACCTTCTGATAAAGGAAAGACTACAGCTAAACCTTCTGATAAAGGAAAGACTACAGCTAAACCTTCTGAGGAAGGAAAGACTACAGCTAAACCGTCTGATGAAAGAAAGACTACAGTCAAACCTTCTGATGAAGGAAAGACTACAGTCAAACCTTCTGATAAGGGAAAGACTACAATCAAACCTTCTAATGAAGAAAGGACTACAGTCAAACCTTCTAATGAAGGAAAGACTACAGTCAAACCTTCTAATGAAGGAAATACTAGTCAAACCTTCTAATGAAGGAAAGACTACAGGTAAACCTTCTGATGAAGGAAAGACTACAGATAAACCTTCTGATGAAGGAAAGACCACACACAGTGAAACCTTCTAATGAAGGAAGGACTACATTCAAACCTTCTAATGAAGGAAGGACTACAGTCAAACCTTCTATTGAAGGAAATACTACAGTCAAACCTTCTAATGAAGGAAAGACTACAGGTAAACCTTTTGATGAAGGAAAGACTACAGATAAACCTTCTAATGAAGGAAAGACTACAGTCAAATTTTCTGATTAAGGAAAAACTACAGTCAAACCTTCTAATGAAGGAAAGACTACAGTCAAACCTTCTGATCAAGGAAAGACTACAGTCAAATCTTCTGATCAAGGAAAGACTACAGTCAAACCTTCTGATGAAGGAAAGACTACAGTCAAACCTTCTGATGACAGAAAGACTAGTCAAACCTTTTAATGAAGGAAAGACTAGTCAAATCTTCTGATCAAGGAAAGACTACAGTCAAACTTTCTAATGAAGGAAAGACTACAGTCAAATCTTTTGATCAAGGAAAGACTACAGTCAAATCTTTTGATCAAGGAAAGACTACAGTCAAACCTTCTAAGGAAGGAAAGACTACAGTCAAACCTTCTAATGAAGTAAAGACTACAGTCAAATCTTCTAATCAAGGAAGGATTAAAGTCAAACATTGTGAAGAATGAAAGACAATAATTCAACCTTCTTATGCTTTATTGATTTACTGACCTAAGAATCAACATCATAGCACACTGGGCATACGCATAGATGCTCAGGCTCCGCAAATGTCTTAAGGTATAGATGCAAACTGTTTCTGTAGCACACTGATTATACACACACTGTTCTATTCCTCTCATACACCCATCATTGCCGGACGGATTCTTAATTCTTGTTCACACATTCATCATCATGTTATTTCATCTAACCTCATGACTTCTATCAACATTCATTCATATATGGTTTTCACAATGTCTCCTTGTCCAGTATAAGTGTTCCGTAGCTATCACTTTTGTAACCAGAAAATTTGCTGTTTCATTCCCTGGCACTCCTGCATGTCCCAGACAGTTCGCTGTTTTATTCCCTGGCACTCCTGCATGTCCCAGACAGTTCGCTGTTTTATTCCCTGGCACTCCTGCATGTCCCAGACAGTTCGCTGTTTTATTCCCTGGCACTCCTGCATGTCCCAGACAGTTCGCTGTTTTATTCCCTGGCACTCCTGCATGTCCCAGACAGTTCGCTGTTTTATTCCCTGGCACTCCTGCATGTCCCAGACAGTATATCCATGTGATTCTCTGCAATGCTAAAGATACTGATCCTTTGTATCCACACATGCCACATTTATATACTTTCTGAGGAATGGACAAACAACAAGAGTATTGATACCTTCTGCTTCTTTCCAAGTCACAGAGCCATCTAACTGAGAGGCAAGGAACCAACTGTCTGCATAAAAATAAGTGAGATCTGTAAAACTGATGTGCATGGAACACTCAGGTCTACAGGTGGATGAAGAAACGGAACTTTCCGCTAGTTTACAGCTGGTGAAAGTGAAGAAGAAGAAACCTTCTGTCGAAAGGAAGACAAGAATTAAAACTTTCAGTTAAAGGGAAGACAACAAAAACATTTAAACCTTGTGCTGAAGGGAAGACAAGAGCATTTAAACCTGTTGAAAGAAAGATAACTATAGTATTGAAACCCTCTACTAAAACTAAGACACCATTTAAACCTTCTGCTTTATAGGAAGATAAAAGTATTTAAATCCATTAAGCTAGAGATGGCAAGAATATTGAAATAAATTGAGGGGAAGATAAAAATTAATTTGAATCTTCTGTTGAAAGAGGACAATAAAAACAAAAGTATGTAATTTCAGCTGGAACTGTTTTTCAAAAACAGATATCTGTTGAAACAGCACTTTTGGTTTTATTTTAATAATGATGTTATTCTGCTAACAAATCACACACAGGAACAGTAACATGATGTTCTTATGCTTGTAGAAACATAACTGTTTAGTAGCTAGCAGGTCTGCCTGTTGCCATGTTTGTATGTTGTGGTCATACGTTTGAATCCTCCAAAATGTAGGAAACAGCGCTATTCCAACTTGACCCGGCCTATAACTGGTACCATGAGAAATACCATATACTCAATATGTCCCAGTACGTGGGATCACATTGACCTTTTAGGAAGATTATATTTGGAGTTTGGTAGCAGTCATGCAGACTATCTGGCACTGACCTAGCAGAGGCGGCATAGTAACTACACTTGGTTCCTTGGGTTTAGAGTGGAGACAGTTGAAAATTAGGAGCTTTACCAAGGGTCAAACACACAATTCCCAAAAGATGCCACACTCTGACAGCATCAGTAAATGAAGATGACTATACCAAGTCACTGTAGTAAGAATTATATTTACGATGTTGTTACAAAAACAAAAAATAATATAAATGATTAGGAAACAGTGAAACAGACTACAGGGGTGAGATTATTAATGAAGATAATGTTATCGCAATTAATCATCACTCAAACTGACCAATAATCTGATGTATGTCTGGTCGAACAAGTGGTTCCCCTCCTGTCAATCTGATCTTAGTGACTCCTTCGGACACAAACAGCCTGGATAACTTGAGTATTTCTACAGTAGTTAGAATGTGATCTTTGGGAGACAGGCCCACACCCTCCTCAGGCATACAGTATTGACCTGTAAGAGGAAGTATTGTTATAGATATGTATGTTATAGATATGTATGTTATAGATATGTAGTGTTATAGATATGTATGTTATAGATATGTATGTTATAGATAAGTAGTGTTATAGATATGTATGTTATAGATAAGTAGTGTTATAGATATGTATGTCAAAGATAAGTATGTTATAGATAAGTATGTTATAGATAAGTATTTTATAGATAAGTATGCTATAGATATGTATCCAGTTTATTTGTAGTCAGGTTTCTATCCACCAACAGTCCTCAGTTCAAAATAATGGCTGTGACATACAAATATTTGTGTTTTAGTTCACAATAATGTTTCCAATGCTTCCCATGACCCACAGGCAATATATCAGGACACAGTCACAATGTGATAACTCGTTCTCATACACAGCAAGATACAAGCATTCATTGTTTTCATGCCTGTAATAATAATTTATTTTAGCCTTCTAAAAAAAATTTTTTTTTTTTTTAAATATATTTTATGTGTACTTGAGTGATGAAAAATGACAGCGGGAATTAAAGATAAACTAAGGACTTTGAAAATAAATATCTAAGGAGAATCCTGTGAATATTTTGGTATTTTGGTCCTACAAGATCACACCAAAAAAAAAAAAAAAAGCTGAGAAGACAAATGAAATGTCCATTACTGACAAATCTTATGAAAACGGAGAAGACCCGAATGGCTTGAATAATTTTGGTCCAGGGGACACTTTGGGAATAACAATTCTCTCTCCAGCAGATGACGGATGAAAAAAAAAGAAAACCTGAAGAAGCATGGTAGAAATGGAAATAACAAAATTTTTTAATTGATATTGGATTCCATCAGCAGAAAATCAGCAGACCGGCAGCAATGGACATTGCTTGTAAGTACCTTATATGTTAACAGTGACATGATAGAATAAATATATTTGGTAAAGATTATTCCCGGTAAAAGATGTAGAAGTAGTTTAAACAACAACATCCTGTTCAACCCATCTGGGTTATAACTGGGATTTATAAACCATTTTTGTGTGTTAATATTGGATATTTATGCATCTCCATTTTTTTTTTAAAACAAGAAACTGCAATAAACTTTAGTAGACACCAGTCTATCCCTCTGTGGTTTTTAAATGAACACTCATAAACTTTACATGCAAATGTAAGGTTTATGAGTGTTCATTTCAAAACCACAGAGGGAAACATAACAAAAATATTCAATATTATTTATGTATGACATGTGGTGACTAAAACGAGAAATATTATGCCCGCAGGCACACACTGTTGCTTCATTTCAACTCTTCACTGCATTTATTGATCAAATGTGATATCATTATTAATGAAATCCCCAATAATAATTTATAATGCGTGACTTATGAAGCCTAGGCTGGCGATCAAAAGCCAGATGTGCTGATTTGATTGTGTTTTATTTGTGTTTGCAAAGCGTAGCTCTGAAATGTCTATCCATTGTTTTATTGTTTTTTCTCTAGCCCTAGCATGCATTTGAATGCCTTGAGTGCTGTGTCAATTATTGACTTAACTCAACCCTCTAGCCCTAGCATGCATGGGAATGCCTCGAGTGCTGTGATGTCAATTATTGACTTAACTCAACCCTCTAGCCCTAGCATGCATGGGAATGCCTTGAGTGCTGTGTCAATTATTGACTTAACTCAACCCTCTAGTCCTAGCATGCATGGGAATGCCTAGAGTGCTGTGTCAATTATTGACTTAACTCAACCCTCTAGCCCTAGCATGCATGGGAATGCCTCGAGTGCTGTGTCAATTATTCACTTAACTCAACCCTCTAGTCCTAGCATGCATGGGAATGCCTCGAGTGCTGTGTCAATTATTGACTTAACTCAACCCTCTAGTCCTAGCATGCATTTGAATGCCTTGAGTGCTGTGTCAATTATTGACTTAACTCAACCCTCTAGTCCTAGCATGCATGGGAATGCCTTGAGTGCTGTGTCAATTATTGACTTAACTCAACCCTCTAGCCCTAGCATGCATGGGAATGCCTTGAGTGCTGTGATGTCAATTATTGACTTAACTCAACCCTCTAGTCCTAGCATGCATTTGAATGCCTTGAGTGCTGTGTCAATTATTGACTTAACTCAACCCTCTAGTCCTAGCATGCATGGGAATGCCTCGAGTGCTGTGATGTCAATTATTGACTTAACTCAACTCTCTAGCCCTAGCATGCATGGGAATGCCTTGAGTGCTGTGTCAATTATTGACTTAACTCAACCCTCTAGTCCTAGCATGCATGGGAATGCCTCGAGTGCTGTGTCAATTATTGACTTAACTCAACCCTCTAGTCCTAGCATGCATGGGAATGCCTTGAGTGCTGTGTCAATTATTGACTTAACTCAACCCTCTAGTCCTAGCATGCATTTGAATGCCTTGAGTGCTGTGTCAATTATTGACTTAACTCAACCCTCTAGCCCTAGCATGCATGGGAATGCCTCGAGTGCTGTGTCAATTATTGACTTAACTCAACCCTCTAGTCCTAGCATGCATGGGAATGCCTCGAGTGCTGTGTCAATTATTGACTTAACTCAACCCTCTAGTCCTAGCATGCATTTGAATGCCTTGAGTGCTGTGTCAATTATTGACTTAACTCAACCCTCTAGTCCTAGCATGCATGGGAATGCCTTGAGTGCTGTGTCAATTATTGACTTAACTCAACCCTCTAGTCCTAGCATGCATTTGAATGCCTTGAGTGCTGTGTCAATTATTGACTTAACTCAACCCTCTAGTCCTAGCATGCATGGGAATGCCTTGAGTGCTGTGTCAATTATTGACTTAACTCAACCCTCTAGCCCTAGCATGCATGGGAATGCCTCGAGTGCTGTGTCAATTATTGACTTAACTCAACCCTCTAGTCCTAGCATGCATGGGAATGCCTCGAGTGCTGTGTCAATTATTGACTTAACTCAACCCTCTAGTCCTAGCATGCATGGGAATGCCTCGAGTGCTGTGATGTCAATTATTGACTTAACTCAACCCTCTAGCCCTAGCATGCATGGGAATGCCTTGAGTGCTGTGTCAATTATTGACTTAACTCAACCCTCTAGTCCTAGCATGCATGGGAATGCCTCAAGTGCTGTGTCAATTATTGACTTAACTCAACCCTCTAGTCCTAGCATGCATGGGAATGCCTTGAGTGCTGTGTCAATTATTGACTTAACTCAACACTCTAGCCCTAGCATGCATGGGAATGCCTTGAGTGCTGTGTCAATTATTGACTTAACTCAACCCTCTAGCCCTAGCATGCATGGGAATGCCTCGAGTGCTGTGTCAATTATTGACTTAACTCAACCCTCTAGTCCTAGCATGCATGGGAATGCCTTGAGTGCTGTGTCAATTATTGACTTAACTCAACCCTCTAGTCCTAGCATGCATGGGAATGCCTCGAGTGCTGTGTCAATTATTGACTTAACTCAACCCTCTAGTCCTAGCATTCATGGGAATGCCTTGAGTGCTGTGTCAATTATTGACTTAACTCAACCCTCTAGTCCTAGCATGCATGGGAATGCCTTGAGTGCTGTGTCAATTATTGACTTAACTCAACCCTCTAGCCCTAGCATGCATGGGAATGCCTTGAGTGCTGTGTCAATTATTGACTTAACTCAACCCTCTAGTCCTAGCATGCATGGGAATGCCTTGAGTGCTGTGTCAATTATTGACTTAACTCAACCCTCTAGCCCTAGACGGATTTTTTTTTGGGTGAGGGGTTATACCTTAACATTAGTTGCGCAGACTTCATTCTAACGAGATGTGCAAAACCCTTTATTCGTTCAATCTCAATTAATATAATGCATGCCTTTATGTTTAATTATCTTTCTTATCCTGTCATTTTTTCTGGTAATTCATGTTATCGGCTTCTTCCTTTTTTGGGTGGCACTTTTCCATTTTTCAAGACAACAGTCTCCCCCTGTGCTATCGGGAGGCATGGAAACCACAGCCCACGGTGATGGTGAGTGTGACTAGCAAGACCTGTCTGTGTTATGAAATATCTTCCATAATAAGTGCATGGGATTTCAGGACCATTGTTTGTCGTCATGTGTCTTTGATGTGTTGCTTCTTAGATTCTCAGCAACTATCTGCAGTCCTGTTCTCCTTTGACACCATTCCTCACTTAATTTTCCCAATCCATGCAATGCAATCCATGGCATTATGGACAAACGAAACAAAGCTAAACAAATTATCCAATCGTCTTGCTTACTGGGCAGGGTTTTCAATGACCATGGTGATGCATTAATAAAAAAGTCGTTGCATTGTGTTCATTTCTCATTTTGTTGGAGTACATGGTGGAGGGAAGAGCTATGGGATGTCAACATTACATGTGGGTGGACACAAAAAGATGGACTGGAAAAAGAATGAGTGCACTGTGAAGATGCAGTGGACATACTACAGTATATGAAACACTAATGAATGACATGAATCACCCAAGAATTGTAGAATTATACACATTGTCATTGACTCCACACACCTGTCTCATCAGCTCAAACCATCAGCTCATTTCAAATCTAAATATACAGAAGACATAAGTGAACTCTTGCAGCCCAACTCAACAGTAAATTCAGTTCTAAAGGCTATTTTTCAAATATGTAGGCCAGATTTCAAATCTATATGCCTAATTGTGTCTTGTCAGTTCAAAATAAATTTCAAATCTATATACAATCTTCAGAGTCTAAGCCAAGCTGTATATTTGCCAAAGGACACAAGCACGTTACAGCATCAAGTGAGTGGGTAATTTATTCATTCATTAATCTGATAGGCCACAGTACAGTTTCCTACCATATCCATTTCCTTCAGCAAATTGAATTTATAATTCACTTGTTTGTTCTATGTTATGCACATCTTAGTCGGTAATCTCATGGATCACACTCAGGATGCAAGCTACTTCAGTAACAAAATTAGGCAGTGAAAGAAACTGTATTGAATCATTACAAACTTATGAGTCTAAGCCATGCTGTATATTTGCCAAAGAACACAAGCATGTTACATCATTGAGATGAGCACATTAAGGAAAGCACCTGTGTCATTAGGGGGCTGCATGATCTCGAGGCATGGCGTCTGCCTTGAGTGCTAGAGGTCCCCGGTTCATGCCCCCGTAAAGGCTGGGATTTTTTCACTTGGACTTTCAGTAATTTCCCCTGGTCTCTGGGTAGTGAGATCAGACGCCCGTGTGTATTGTTGCGCATGTAAAAAATCTACTGGCAGTTGGAAATCAAAAAGAGTAGCCTAATGGCACTGCCCAGAAAAATTTGGAGTTCAAATTCTACCTAAAGTATTTTTTGATCCACGCCGGTACCACAGAGTTTATGCCCTGCGCTGAGTTTCTTCGGGCTCAGTCTCGAGTTAGAAGTAGCACTTATGGGTTCCTACCCTTGTGCCATGATGCTGATCCGCCATCTAAACCTAAACCTCATTCAGAACTTGAGTTTTTAATGCACTGCACATATGTTTTACAGATCTGACTTATCTGCAGGCTGTTGGTTCTTTGCCTCTCAGGAAGATGAACGCCAATTTCAAAGGAAACGTCACTAAATAGTTGACTTTTACTACATGTGTTAGGAGGCAGTGGGTATATCCCCCCCCCCCAACCCTCATAATGGGGCCTCAGTACGCACAATGGGATGATGATAAATCGTATAGGCATCACATTTTCAATTTTTTTTGAGACAACTTTATAATTTATTTGTAACTGGTTGGGAGCCAGAATGGTGCAGTTGCTAAAATGCTTGACTGCCAGCCTGGTTGCCTTTATCATGTGTTCAAATCCCTTTCAAAATGACTTTAGTTCCAAAGACAATCTTGACTCAAATGTGAACCAGGACATTTGTTGGAAGTAATGAATGAATGAATTAATTAATTAATTAAACATGATGGCACTCTGGACATATCTGTATGTACCTTGTTTCCTTCAGTAGAAGCCAATGAAGAGGTCCGATGCTGACAGTACCAGTTACAACCTGATTCAAAATCTGCATATATTTTGTTAAAGCTCTTCCGGAAACTCTAAACCCAACTCAACACAGCTAGCTAACTCACTGTTGACCATGTCAGCCCTTCAAACTATCAAGTACGTGCCACTCTAAAATATGTGAGAACAGCACCAGAAAGTCTGTACACAACAGTAAACACAGCTAGCTAACTCACTGTTGACCATGCCAGCCCTTCAAACTATCAAGTACGTGCCAGTCTAAAATATGTGAGAACGGCACCAGAAAGTCTGAAACCAACAGTCAACACAGCTAGCTAACTCACTGTTGACCATGCCAGCCCTTCAAACTATCAAGTACGTGCCAGTCTAAAATATGTGAGAACGACACCAGAAAGTCTGAAACCAACAGTCAACACAGCTAGCTATCTCACTGTTGACCATGTCAGCCCTTCAAACTATCAAGTACGTGCCAGTCTAGAATATGTGAGAACGGCACCAGAAAGTCTGAAACCAACAGTCAACACAGCTAGCTATCTCACTGTTGACCATGTCAGCCCTTCAAACTATCAAGTACGTGCCAGTCTAAAATATGTGAGAACAGCACCAGAAAGTCTGCACACAACAGTAAACACAGCTAGCTAACTCACTGTTGACAATGTCAGCCCTTCAAACTATCAAGTACGTGCCAGTCTAAAATATGTGAGAACGGCACCAGAAAGTCTGCACACAACAGTAAACACAGCTAGCTAACTCACTGTTGACAATGTCAGCCCTTCAAACTATCAAGTACGTGCCAGTCTAAAATATGTGAGAACGGCACCAGAAATACACTCAGTTTGTTTCATGACATGAAAAGGGACCAATGTCCTTACCCACAAGAACTGCAGGCGAAACCCGGCTAGTGTAACCAAAAAGGTGTCCTAATTATAATTTCGTTGGAGGTTGAACAGGGTTTCTGGGATCTGCCTTTCTGGTCTAATGTCCACAATGCGATTTTTAAAATCTCAGGATGATAGGGTAAACCTTTCAGTAGCATCCAAGAGGGGACAAACTTATCGATCAATCGATATAAAAAAGGATTTTTTATCCATGACCAGCAGGCAAGCCATTATGGTGCCGTGGCTGACTCTAATTCACTCACACACTAATAGTTTTATCTGAGATATCATCAGATCATGCTGCTTTGACAGAACCACTTACATCTTAAATTGCATTTCTCTGTGAGGGAAATTCGTAAATAAGTGTGCTGCCTGCCAAAAATGTCAGTTAGGAAATCAGAAAATGGACGGTCAAATGAAACCAATTTAGCTTTGACTCTTTCTTGTATACTCTGAAACAGACATAACACAAAATGTTCAAGGAAGTTTAAGTCTAATATTTATACAGACAATACTAATATTAAAATTATTATTATAACAAGTTTAAGGTCAAATATTAATATAGATGATACTAATATTAAAATTATAATTATAACAGCATCCTTCTGTCAAACCTAGCCTGGGTTAATGCCCTCTACGTGCAGGAAGACTCCAACCTAACAGCACTGCATACTATTTCTGCTGTCTTTTTAAAACTGAGACTTCTATGTTCTGATTTAGCAGCAACGTTTGCCTTGCATCAGTTCTAGCAATGAAATAATCTGTTTCTCTTTGATCACATAAAATGTGAATATAATTTAGACAACTCTGAGGCCGTTCATTTTTTTTTTTTTTTGGTTGTTGTTGCTGTTTTGTTTCTCTTATTGTTACAGCAACACTGTTGCTCTAATTCTGCAGTTTTTTTAATTTTTATTTCATAACATTTCCTATTTAATCTTATTTGGTTACATGTGAAATAAATTGTGTTCATAGTAGTTTCAGATTGCAGATTTGTATTTTTCTGTTGGTGCCTTCCACATCACTTTAAAACTCATATTATTATCTCTTTACCTCCTCCTTGGTGCTTTCAAGTGTTATAGTATTGCTGAACTGTTTTATATGGTTTATGTTACACAGTCCGACAATTTTTGGTTTTAAGTTTAATTTCATTTCAATAAGTGAATAAAATAAACAGTACAAAACATTACGAGTGATGGTGACTTATATAAAGAACTGTATGTTCTATATACCCCACAACAAGTTAATTTAGAACTGCACTAATATCATATAATCCTATCTGTCAGTTCTGAATTAACAACAATTAATAACGTGTTGTCCTTGTGACTGTAGTAGAATTCACTCACGGATGTGTTGGGTAAATTTCACAGCACTCCGACTTTATTCTCAGGTGCTCATATTCCCCCTTCCCTCCCTTCAACATATACTAGATACATCAGCATAAGTCCTATATGTCCGGTGTGCCTCTCGTGCCAATTTTTACTTTGCTACCAATTCTTTTATTAGCAGTTATGTAAAGTTTGGGTATCATGATTAATTAAACTAAATATATTACCTTGTACTTCATAGGACTATCCTCTGGTAAAGGCTCAGGTTGGACGCTAGGAACTGTTGAACATAGTCTGGACCCTGTTAATAAATGGTGACATACCCGTCCAGTCCAGGAAATACTTGGGAAGCACAGCTGTGAACGATGTTAGCACCTGTCCCTCTGGTTGCTGAGAACACAACTCTGCTACACACTTCAGCAGTACTGTTGCTCAACAATGTCCCACATGAAAGCACAGCTTTCTTGCAGTGCATTTTCTACAGGCTGTGTATCGTGGATGTAACTATAGACGCAAGTAGAAATAAATCATTATTAACTGACTGCTGTTTCCACGCCTACTTTAGTACTCTAAACACTTTGTTCACTGTAAAATATCAGTAACACTAAAGTAACCGAATACAAAATTACTTACAAGTAACTATTCACTGTTAGCTATATAATATATAATTAAAATAAGGTTTATTACTGTACTGACTGTAACTACTACTAACTACTACTACGAACTTAAGACTAGGCACCGGCGAATGTTTTAGTGTTACTGTAAGCGTAATTTTTTTTTTTTTAAATTAACCTACAGCTGTACTGAGTACCGCCTGTACTTGTACCAAGTACAACTAACAAATCCGCCGTTGAAAATGACAAACTCCAGAACAGCAGACAGTCACATGCCAGAGCCACATCTCAACTACCTATACCCTATACCCGTACCCACGACCTACATCACATCTACTGATAATCAAAGGCGCTGTGTGTCGTCCGTCTACTAGTCGACCGCTGGCAGCCTTCGGAAATGTGTGAATGAAATCAAAGTGGAACAAACGGCCCGAACGAACCAGCTGCATGATACAGCGTTATGTGCCTTGTCACGCAGCACAGACCAACAAGCCATGAAGCCAGGGGTTTCTACTGTGTACACAAACATATTACAGCAGTCACACGGGAGGGGGGGGGGGGGGGGCGTTTTTGGGTTAATGATGCAGGTGAGACTGGCGTGTGTTTGTATAAACACAGAAATCAGGCTGATGAAACTGGAAGTATTCTAATGGGACAACTTCGTAGTTGGTGCTCTGTACACAAGACTGTCGTTCTATGCTTCGGCCTAACGTTATTACTTAATAATACTTAATAACTAGATCTTACACACGCGCCCAGTATGAGTGTGCGTGGTTGTTCGTGCACACGCAGAGTGAGCGTTAGATTTGTGTGTGTGTGTTTGTGTGTGTGTACCGGACTTTTTTTTGGGGGGGAGGGGGAGGGGGGGGGGCTACGCGAGCATATGCACAATACTCAACCTTTGATCAATTTGATTTAAAAAAAAGAACTTCAAACAAATTTCTTCTTCTTCATTTTCTTTTTCGTCTTCTTCATTTTCTTCTTCTTCTTCATTTTCTTCTTCTTCTTCTTCTTTTTCTTCTTCTTCATTTTCTTTTTTTTCTTCTTCATTTTCTTTTTCTTCTTCTTCTTCTTATTATTATTCTTCTTCTTCTTCTTCTTCTTCTTCTTCTTCTTTTTCTTCTTCTTCTTCTTCTTTCTTCTTCTTGTTTTGAAGAGGCATCGGGCGCTTTCCTTGCTATGTGCTAGGAAGATACTGGTAATTGTAACCTTAGATATTCTATCAAGAATACAGAAGGCCAACAACAGAAATTACCAAATAGTGAAGCATCCAAATATCAACATGCACGCACACACAACAAATCAGCTAATCAATGGCTGTTCGTACCAACTTTAGTGCCAGACATAGACAGTCCTAGAAAACATAAAACGCACAATGACAACATGTGAGATTATATGTACAAGAAATGGTGCGAGAAAAACAATAAGAGACAGAGTCGCCAGTGAAGAATTAGGAACAATTGTAGCGTGAATGATTTTGTAAAACATCAGAGAATCAAAATGGTCTGGTCTTGTAGTCACAACGGAACCAGACCAGCCAGCAGCTAGAGCGTTCCATACGACATAGAAGGCTATATTCAAGAGGCCGACCAAGAAAGACAGGTGGAGGGAGTAAAAATGCTCCCTCTCCAACCGTGCAAAGTCATTCTCTTTTTACGTGTGTTTCTACACTTCATACTAGTTCAAATTTATTATTGTAATAATTTACCACTCGATTCACTGTTCACTATTATTGCGCACTTTAACCAGACATTGAGGTTTCCTGTCCCTACAAGGTTATAAGGAGACTGATTTGTGGTGGTCCCCTGCCTTATAAAGCCTGACTCGTGTCTTATAGACCAGACGGCACGGGATGGATGATGTCATCAGTCAACATCATGCCGACAGCTTTTACTACCCAGGACAATACCTGGTACCTAGTTTAGACTAAGTCGACGTATGATTCAAGTTTTCTGTTTTTTAATAAATAATCCACTTTAATGCTATGTCCCCTTCTTGGGTAGCTAACGAAGATTTGACATCCTAAATAAAGACGAAAGACTGAACCAGCCAGGAATCAAATTTCGAAAGAGAAAAGAGAAAAGAGAAAACGCTTCACTAAAACGATCCATTAAAATGTCCATTAACTGCAGAAACACTTTTTGGACTAGGATTTGGAGCAGAGAGAACATAATGGCATTGTTTCTCTCAAAATATAAAGTATTACAATTTTCATCTCTAAATAAACAGTTTGTCAAAATTGTCCGAAACTCACATCTCCACTTACTTTCCCTTTTCTAAGATATCCTTCTGAAAGATTGACACCCATGACATATTATTGTTATTGCGCACCTAAACCAGATTTTTAGATTCTTGTCCCTACAAAATTTTATGAAAAATTGAGCATCGCCCCTGATGACTTATTTTTAACTACTTAAACTTAAATTATTCCTTCGCACGGCGCTTAACGGCAGAAGTGGTTTATGATGATGGTGATGAACACCCATGACTCAAAGAACCGCCACAACATGGAGAGCTATTACCTCTACCCTATGCTCCGCCCTAGGCTCAGAAAACTGACTGACTTTTTACCCCACCAGGACATCACACAAGCGATAAACACCCGATGACACAAAGTGCCACCACGTGGATGAGGATCACCGTGGAGAGGTCCCAGAAACCGCGTTCAGACAATTGGCCATATTTGTGGCCTGCCTATATTGCGGCCCCTGGCAAAAGCCTGAGTGGGGCTTCAAATAACAAAAAATTACGTCCTTAAAAGGACGTAAGGATATAATGTAAGTATAGCTCGGCTCAGAAAAGAGCAAAGACCAACTAACTCGAAAAGCTACTATCCAATGAGATCCCAACAGACACAATTCTCAGAAAGCCCGCTCTACCGGTTAAGAGTTATATAGGAGAGAGCCCGACTGATGTCCAGTTAGGAGACTGCAGCACACATGCCCCGTTACCTTCCAATCACTGCAGGATCTTCGCCAGACGACGGTAATTAGAATCATTAAAACGAAGCAGGGATGCAAACTGTAAGATAAAACAACAATTACACTGACATTTAAAACATATCGCCTTATTATTTATTATGGGGTCGGATATGTTCAGGTACAGTAATTTTTTTTAAATGGCACTGGTTCGTATTAAGAAACTTAACATAAACAACAAACAACACTTTGTAGGCTTTGGATAGGAAACTGCGATCTTAGGGCAGTCCCACCAAGACAAACATACACGAATCTGCTACCTGGGAATGCAGAGCAGGTAGAAAGGGTGAATGTTACGAACTTCTTCTCATCTGGGTCTGCTCGGCCCATTTACACACTAGGTCACTTTTGATTTCTACTTGCTCAGGCTCGTCAACTTTGCTCAAGGTTACAGGGGTGTCCCGGTGTACTGTCTGCTCGAAAAGCTTTCTGCGTTGTCTTCCGTTCACGTTTTCATTCCCAGAAATAGAATGCATGTGACTTAGATTGCTGCACTCTTGTTGAGGGATTTGTGATATAGCATGGCTGATGAATACGGTGACAATCAAATGTAAATTGCTAGTAATGGACGCAGTAAACAGCAAACCAAGAATGACAAAGCTCACGAATCCTCAAGTGTTATGTCATAATTCTTACACAAGTGCTGGCTGTGCGGTTGCTTGTGGTATGTCCTGGTGGGGTACAATAAGCAAGCAATTGTTTGTCGCAGGACCTTCTTACGGGTGCGACCCCGGGCTGGTGACCACAGCTTTAGACTTTTGTAGTTACTCAATCCACTTTCTGTGTATGGAACCCGCCTCGACCCGCCGAATCATGCTCACATAATCACTCAGCTCTCTCTCTCTCTCTCTCTCTCTCTCTCTCTCTCTCTCTCTCTCTCTCTCTCTCTCTCTCTCTCTCTCTGTCTCACACACACACACACACACACACACACACACACACACACGGGGATAGCCCCATGCTTCCAGCTGTAGTTACACTTGTGACATCATCATAACCTCCATTGTGTGGCTATAGAGAGAGCCACCTTAACAAAATATGTTATCAACATCCAATTCTTTACATGCAAGCGAACCAAAACCTAAGCTTGCCTCATCATCATCATCAATTCTCTTTATGCCTAGTGGCACATGAGGCTTCAGAGAGGACTTTCCATGCTTTCCTGTCCTGTGCAATTTTCAGTGCAGTTTTCCATGTCAGAGATGCCGCATTCAGGTCACTCTCCATCGTTCGTCTCCATGTTGTTTTTGGGCGCCCCTTCTTTCTCCTTCCCTTTGGTATCTATGTGAGAGCTTTTTTGGCAGGCATATCAGGATTCATTCTCATAACGTGACCAAGCCATTTCCATCTTCTCTTGGTTATCATACTGTCTAGAGTTTCTTGGCTTGTGACTTGAAGTATTTTAGTGTTTGAGATTGTATTTAACCAGAAAATTTTGATAATTCTACGTAGACATGTGTGGTGGAAGGTGGATAGCTTGTGTGCATCTTGGGTCATTCTCCAGCATTCTGCTCCATAGAGAAGAACTTGCAAAATAATGCTCTTGTAGAGTCGAAGTTTCGTTTCTTTGCAGTGACTGTTGGATTTCCAGAATTGCCTCATTCTTCCAAAATCAGTTCTAGCTTTGTTCAGGCGTGACTGTATGTCTTTCTCTGTCCCTCTCAATAGGGACACCACACTTCCAAGATATGTGAAATGTTCTACATTTTCAAGTGTTTGTTTATTTATGGTCATTGGTTGTTGGTTTAGACTGTTTGTCATGATCTTAGTTTTCCTTGTATTTATTCTCAGTCCCACCATTTCTGCTATGCTGTGTAGTCTGTTGCTTTTTTCTTGTATATGTTCATGTTTATGTGGTAGGATTGCTATACAGTTGTAAAAGC